ATACAAATGTGTTTAATAAGTAAATAAATAAAGAAATATGAAATATTTACATCATATTTATAGCTCTACACATTTATTTTGATATCCATAATTTACACATGCTCAAATATTGTACATCAATTTAATAAAAAATTTCTTCACTAAATTGTCAGCACAAACATTTTGTCCTAAAAATTTAAGAAATAGACATTTTATGGCAGACAAGCAACCAAGCTGCCCCTCTCCCTCCCACTTGCACGTTCTGCCTGCTGCCTGCCAGCCTGCCTGCCATTGAGGCTGGCCCTCAACTAAAGCAATGCTTACCTAGCTATAAAGGAATGGCATAGAGGAAGAGAGAGTGAGAGAGAGGGACGCGCGGGGGGCTGGCAGAGAAGTTCTGGCATCAAGTGTAGCTGCGCTTTACAATCAACTGCCAGCTGCCTGGCATTTTCTATTTCAGCTCTCGTTTTTATTTTTATACATTCAACTCTCTTTTGGCTAGCGCCATCTCGCTCGCACTCGCTCGCCTAACTCACTTGTTTAGCTCTTTGTCGCTGCTTTAATGCGCCTTTTGCTCAGGCTCGCACCGTTAGTTAGCATTGCATTGTGTTGTGTCCGCCATTCTTAGCCCCCGTTCCTCCTGCCCGGCCATTCCTTTTTCAATTTTAGCACAATGCTAATGCCATCTCGCTCGCGCGCACATCGAGTCTGCATGTCTGTCGTCGTTGTTCGTTGAGTTGGCATGGCCCGGGAAGGGGCGGGGTGGCCCGACGCGGCGTTGGTGCGGTGCAGCGCGTCTGCTTTGACAAAAGTTTTTTGCGCTAGTTTCTTGCCTTTTATTTGCTTCACACGCGGCGCCTTCAGTTTGTGTTTTTCTACTTACGCCCGAAAACCAAATAAAAATAAGAAGACCAAAAAACCAAGCAAACAAAAATCAAACAAAAAATATTAAAAAACTGAAAGAAAAAAATTGAAGTGAACATGCCAATATTTGGCAATGTCAAAACTCATATACCCTGGCTGAAATATGCCAAGTGTATATGCTGAACCGAAATTGTTATATTGATCATATTCATATGTGTTTTTTTTTTATTTTTTTTTTTATTTTTATTTGACGAATTTCAGCGGCTTTTACATTCGTCACATGCTGCCTGTGGAAACGCATATAGCCTATGCGAGCGCAGCGCAATTGAGCGGCACAGACAAAGAGAGAGCGTGAGCGAACGAGAGAGAGAGAGAGAGAGGGTAAGAGAGCGCATTGAGCGGCACAGGACAGACGAGCGAAAAGTAGGTAAAAAAATGAAGAAATAAAACTTTTTGGCCACCTACATTTCGTTTTGATGTTGTTGTTGCTGTTGTAGTTGTTGCTGCTTTTTGGCCAATTTCCGGTAATTCAGTTTTATGCAGGAACTTTTTGCGTTTGTATTTTTATATAAATAAATATGATGCCAGCGGCAAATGGCGATGCTCAGCGCCCGACAGATCGCAAGGAGTCCAAGGTCAGCCATGCCACACACACACACACACACACACACACACACACACACACATAGATACAGTCGTCTCATTCCCTCTCGCGCACTTTAAATCGTTGAGGCTATGGCAAAAGTTTTGCCATTCGCGCTGCTTGGCCAAATATAGCAACAAATGATGAGCATTATTTATGCTTTGCTCGACTGTCTCTATGTGAGTGTGTGTGTGCATGTGTGCGTGTGTGTGTGTTAGAGCTAGCTGCTTGTTGGGCACTTGGTTTATGTGGCTCCATAATTGACTTTGATAATTTTCACTTATTGTTGTTGCCTTAGTTGCCAACAACAACAACAACAACAACAACAGCAACAACAACAACAACAACAACAGCAACAACAACAACAACAACTGACAGTCAAACGCAACTGATTCAAATTCTCTGTTAATTTGATTAGAAAAGTTTTCTTGCCGCGTTTCACATTATTATTATTATTATTATTATCATTATTATTATTAGCATTATCATTACCATTGCTATCA